AATCTTGCTTGCATGTGAAATCAATGATATTGTTCTGTAGTTTCCACTACTACACCTAATAACTACTCTTTTTGGCTCTTCCTTTCAGCGACACTGACCTCCTTGTTCTTCTCCTGCACATAATTGGTACTCTTGGAGATTTCTATATGTCTGACATATTTCTCTATGTACTGATCTTCCCTTGGGTGTAGGAGATTCTAAGCATAAGAACCATGGGTACAAAGGTTACACTCTATTCCCAGCTCTTCTTTCTTGCTGAAAGGGTGTTGCTTCTTGTTTGTTTGCTTCTCTTTCCTCTTATCTCTTAGAAGTTTTTGTGGTTTTTTTTTAAAGAATATAGAACATACCCCATGGAAATCCTCCCTTCATTGAATCAGGGCTGTGACTTAGGTGAGGGTGTTTCATGTGACCTTAATCCTACCTCACAGACATAACAAACATAACTTAATGCTCTTTAACTTAACCTAAGCTCTGGTGACACAGACCTAACCCAAAGCCTGCACAGCTCCAGCAGCAGCTCAGGGAAAAGATGGGTGGACTCCTCCTGTTAAAAAGTACTAGAGGGGCTCTGTGAATCAGACCCAAATTGCTGGCAATTTAAGGATTTAAAAAAAAATTTTTTTTTTTAAATTTAGGTTGTTTAGTTTTCATTTCAATGAACATCTACAGAGATTTTGGGATTCCATTCATTCATTGTTGCAAGTTTACAGAGACTTAGGGTTTCTATTCATTCATTGTTGCATTTTTCTCCCTGCCCACCCCCTCTCCTCCAATTCACTCTTCTCCTTGAAAAGAAAAACTCTTTTTTTAACTTTTTCTTTATTAATTTAAACGAAAGTTTACAGAGACTTAAGGTTTCCAGTCATTCATTGTTGCACTTTTCTCCCTGCCCACCCCCTCTCCTCCAATTCACTCTTCTCCTTGAAAAGAAAAAGAAAAACTCTTTCATTGTTATGCAATCTGCCCCCTCCCCAGTCCACTCCATTATGCAGCCTTCACTCTGGAATTCTGTAATGACAAGAATACCCATTCATATATCTCTTTTAAACAGTTTTCTCCCTCATTTGTTTCAGTGCAATATACATCATTCCTCCCCTCCTTTTCTATCTTCCCTCAACGCTGATGTCAGTCCCATTTTACAACAGTGGCCCTATGCAATATTTGTCCTTTTGTGGCTGAGATATTTCAATCAGCATAATGTCCTCCAGGGTCACCTATTTTGCTTAACATTTCATGAGTTCCTTGTTTTTCAATGCAGCGTAGTATTCCATTGTGTGAATATACCAGAGCTTCTCTATCCATTCTTTTGTTGATGGGCACTTGGGTTGTTTCCAGCTCTTTGCTATTGTGAACAAAGCTGCAATAAACATGGGTATGCATGAATTTAAGTTTTCTGAGTTTGAATCCTGATTCATTAATGTCAAAAGAAGTTAGGCTTTACAACACGCCACAAAATGGAGAGTAATTACATCAGAATGGAGGACAGTCACAGCATACTGAAAATCATGACCTTGCCATGTTGACACATATTTCAGGGACACTGTCTAATTTTTGTGTCCATCACCCTTCAGTCAGTTTGTTATTCTGGGTGCCTTGTGTGTTGTGGTGATTTTAGAGGCTCTGCTAGTGGTGTTTCAAATGCTCACCCATGGGAGACAGGTTACAGTGGAGCTTCCAGATTCAAGCAAATCAGGAAGCAAGGCCTGGTGATCTGCGTGCTAAGATTAGCCTATAAAACCCCTGGGATCATAATGTTGTTGTTGTTAAGTGCCGTCAAGTTGTAGGTGACTCATAGCAACCCTATGAATGAAAGTCCTCAACACTTGCATGACTTTCATCATTTCTCCAGGTTCATAGGGTTTCCAGAGACAAGCTATTATGGAAGTGGATGGATGCCACTCCTGCTTCCAAGCTTGTTATAATTGGGGAACGCCACCAACCACTGCCCACCATGGGTAACCATTATCACATTTGACACACCAGTGTCACAGTGTTCAGCTTCACAGCAACCACAGGTTACCTCTGTATGGCAAGTGGACACACCAGCGCTATATGACCTAGAAGAATGTTTGACTAAAAACAATTAAAAACAGGCCCGAGGGCCACAGATTACATAGGACATTGTCTAATGTAATGCTGGAAGGTGAGGCCCCTGGATTGGAGGACTCTAAATACACAGTGGCTGTAATAGATTTGAATACAGAAGTAAATGATTGTGAGAATGGCACAGAACTGGGTAACGTTTTGTTCCATGTACATAAGGTGCCATGAGTTTGAATGGACTCAATGGCAATTAACAATTTTTGCATTAGTAAGAATTACTCTGAATCTATTAAAAAAGTTTGATGTAAGTTTAATTCTTTTTTAAGAAAGAGGGGGAAAGGCAAGATAGGAGTAATCTGTTTTGGAAAAAAATTTAGTCCATATGGTTTAAAATAATTTTGAAAAATAGAGAATTTTTACATATAGATAGTCTTATCTAGAAATACTTCATTTCTTGGTTAGTCATAGCAGAAAAATATTTGACAATATATCTCTAAATAACTTAAGCGATAATCATGATTCAACAAAAAAATTATTATAAAGGACAATTTGTGAATGATTATTATTTCATGCTTTGCTGTAAATTGTATAACATGAGTCATAAGTTTTGTTCTGATTATATTATAGACAAAAGGAAATAAGCTAACAAGTAATTGAAAGAAAATAAATTTTGTATAGAGAACATATTAATTTTTTTATTGTATCTTATATAATGAGAACCATTTGGATAGATAAGAAATTGTCATAAATTTTCTATATAGTTAAAGTAAATGCATTCAGGCATTTAATTTGGATTTCTTGAACTGATTGTGTTAAATGAGGAAGCCTTTCAAATAAGTTTGTGAACTCATTTGTATGTTTAAATGTGTTATTTTTTGATATGTTATAGTTCCATTTCAAAGTGTCATGAAAGCTTTGCAGTTTCCGAAAATCATGGAATTCCTCCCAATTCTTCTGCCTCGATATTTTAAACAGCTCATCAGTGCAGAGTCTACAGCAGTTTTGGAAAAGATCGAAGAGATTTTGAATACTCACCCATGGAAACTTGGGTTTAATAAAGTGAGTAAAGAGTTCAAGCAAATGTCTAAATTGTGAAAAAAAGAAGGAAACAAGGAATAGTATAAACAACATTTAGAAAAGGGAAAGTGATTTCTAGAAAAAAAAATTACTCTAAGAGTTGAAGTTAGCATGCATTTGAAAATGTAATTATGATAAGCTTCCTAGTTATATCTCTCTTCACAATCATTACCTTTTTAAAAAAATTAGTGATACATTTAGTATATCTTTTTTTCCTCCAAATTGTGTTGAAATACATGTCTTTAGAGAAGTAAGTTATCAGAAGTAACACTTTTTACTGTTAAGCCATTATTTCTGACAGTTAAGTATTTATCATTTGAATTGTATTTCTTTGAAAGATAACCTACAACGAATTGAAGCTCTTGCGATGTGAGGCAAATTGGACAGCCTTCTGTCAGTGCAAGTCTCTTCTTCAGTTGATGACGGATCTAGAGAAAAACGCATTAATAATATATTCTAAGCTGAAGCAGTTATGTAGAGAACAGGGGCACACTTGTATTGAACAAACGGAGTTAACTTCTGAATTGTCAAACCAAATGTCTTTTTACGATGCTTGGCAGTCTCTGAAATTTCTGAAGGATTTTGGGGTGGTGACTTATGAAAAAAAATTTATCATTCCTTGTGACCTTTACTGGGCTGAAAAAGGCATTGCGTCTTCAATCTGCCACCTGATGTCAAAACCTCCTTGGATTCTGCAGGTAGACGTGAAAAAGGTTCTTGCTTCTCTTCAGGCCTCCAAGCCTGTGAATTCAGATAATGATGATGCTTTGGTTGCAAGTGAACCTGATGAAACAGTGTTAGACAAATCTGTGCACATTCTGGACATGCAGAACCAGCAGGACCAGAATGATGACAGAGAACTGACTGCAGACATCAGTGAAGTTCAGCTGGATCAGGATCAGGTGACTGCTTTGGAAATGATCTGTGCAAATGCTGTGACAGTCATAAGTGGGAAGGGTGGCTGTGGGAAGACCACAATTGTTAGCCACCTTTTCAAGCATATAGAGAAGTTGGAAGAGAGTGAAGTGAAAAAAGCTTGTGAAGATTTTGAGCAAGACCATGACGCGTCAGAAGAATGGCTGACCTTTACCGAGCAGAGCCAAACAGAGTCAGGCAAGGCTATTGAAGTTTTACTTACAGCACCTACAGGAAAAGCAGCCAGCTTACTGCGACAGAAGACTGGCCTTCATGCCTACACGCTGTGTCAGGTAAAAAAACCCTTTTACATTTTGTCTGTAGATAAAACATTGGCCTTAAAGACAAAACTTATTTAAAGAATTAAAGGGTTGTTGGGTTTTGGTTTGGTTTTTTGTTTGTATTTTTTAAATTTCCTCCTGATGACAGTAAGTCTCGAGTGGCTCCTGGCTCCTGTCTTGAATATCTAATAGTTATCTGTTACTCAAGACCACTTGTCTCTGAACAGTTACCAGCTTGTAGTGAGAAAGGGGGTAGTCCCAGGAAGTGAAATGTGCACTACTTCCTTCAGTAGGGGGCTCTGGTGGCCTAGTGGTAAGGAGCTGCACTGCCAACCCGAAAGCATGCACTTCGAATCCAGTAGCCACTCTGTGTGAGAAAGATGGACAGTATTCTCCTGTGCAGTTTGCTGCCTCTGAAAACCCACCGGAGGGTCAACAATGAGTAGTTTTTTACTTGATGACACATAGAAACAACAACTTTTATGAGAAAGTCTTGTGGAAAAACCCCCAAAACATAACAAAACGATAACCAAACCAAAATGTTTAATGAGTTTAAGAGTTACACTCTGGCACAATCTCGTTATCTCGTTAGAACTGATTGTAAACATGTCATGGTCCACACACCACACCTTGAATAGTATTGGAGGTAGAAGAAAAGGGCTTATGCCCCATAGGATGAAGACTTTATGAGAATAAGGACATTATTCATGTGGTTTAGTTAGACCTTCATGTTCATTACTTAGAACCAAAACCCACTAAGCCAAACCGACTTCATTGAAGTTGATTCTGCCTGATAGTGCCTCTCCATTGGGTTTCCAAGGCTGTAAATCTTTATGAGAGGAAATGGCCCATTTTCTCCCATGGAGTGGTTGGTGGATTCAAACCGCTGACCTTTTTGGTTAGCATGTTATATACCATTCCATCAGGGGTTCTCCCACTTAGAACCTACAGTTGACACTTTAAAAAATATTCAAATGAATTCATATGCTTGTAAAAAATGGTTTGACTGTAAATCACAATCATGAAGTTTTTTTTTTTATTTTTTTTTTTTATGTGTGTGTGTGTGTGTGTGTGTGTTCAAATTGGATCTGACTGGTACAGGAGGAAATTGTCCCTCCTTTCCCAGTGGAGCATCTGGTGGATTTGAACCGTGCGCCTCTGGGATTGCACTGCAGCTTCTTGCCACTAGGCCACCAGAGCTCCCCTAAGCATGAAGTTTTAGACTTGTAAAGAATTGGAAAGGGGGTCTTCTAGTTTCGACCTGCCATCTTAGAAAGAAACTTGGGAGTTGGAAGATTTATGAAGAATGTAATAATTGAATTTGTCCTTAAAGGACAGTAGGCTCAGGCGAGGAGGAGAATGTTTTATTTAGTGGAATGACCTTTCTGAAGGCTTTGAATAGAATGATCACAGTGCATAAAGAGGGTTTGGAGGTGACTCCATTGATTGGAATAAAGGCTGTGTGTTGCAGAATAAGGAAAATTAAACTTCTCTTAGATAGGAAATTTGAGCTTTAAAGTTTACATTTTGACAGTATCTTATTAAATCCATGACAGTCTTGTGAAGAGAGTGAATGCTATTATTTCCATTTTTATAGAAGATCCAGCTGAAGTATAGGGAGTTAAATCACTTGCCTCAAGTCAATTAAGTAAGAAACTAGATAGAAGGCAGATTCAGATTTTGGACATTGCAGCTTGACACTCTTTCCATGTTGCCATGATGTCCTTACTTATTTTGAAATCCTGATGAAGAAGCTGAAAATGGATTTATAATGGAGCATTTTCGTTTTCTGAGGAGCAGAGTGAGAGACTAAGTTTCAAGGGAAATTGTATAGAATCTGCACCATGGTCACTTCAGAAATAATTTTTGCCATTATTTTAATGATTAGGTGATTGGATACTCGGCCTAAAGAACTCAGTGACTTGCCCAAGATCATATAGCTCACTGGTAACAATCTCCTGATTAGTCCATGATTTTTTAGTACATTTTCATGCCTGATTAGTCTGTAAGATTGAATTTGTAGAGGAGAGACAGGAATCATTAAGTTTCACCTTGTAAGCCTCCTCTAACCAGTTGTCCTTGTTGTTGTTATATCCCATTGAGTTGACTATGACTCATAGCAACCCTATGAACTTGTGAAACTTGCCCTAACCTGAGGCAACCTCACTGTCCCTGACACACCTGAGCCCATTGCCACAGTCATTGTGTCAGTCCATTCAGGGTCTTCCTCTCTTGCGCTGAGCTTCCATTCTCCCAAGCATGATGTCCTTCTCCAAAGACTGGCCCCTCCTGACAACATGCCCAAAGTAGGTGAGATCTAGTTTCAAAATCCTAGCCTTCAAGAAGCAACCTGGTTTCATCCACTCTAGCGACAAGACAGATTTGTTTTATTCTCTTAGTAGTCCCTGGTACGTTCAGTACTCTTCTCCAGCTCAGCTCCAAGGCATTGATTCTTCTTCTGTCACAGGTAGTCATTTTCCAGCTCTCAGAGGCATAGCAAGCAGTTGAGAAGGCCTTGGTTGCATCAGTTGCACCTTAGTTTTTAGACTGTCGTCATTGCTCCTTAGCACCATTTTGTAGAGTTTTAATATGTGCTTCAGTTGCTGGGAGAATATGTCTGTAGCTGCATTTAGTCTCAGGAAGTCACTCAGACACATCTCAAGAACTAGGGTGACTTGTGGCTTAGTGGTAAATAACTGCTCTGGCAACCTAAAGGCACATAGTTTGAATCTACTAGATAGGTGATTTACTGCCTTTGTAAAACCACGGGAGGATCTGCTATATGAGTCAGTTCTCACTCAGAGATACATAACAGCAATAACACGGTGGCATTTAATGCAGTTTTTCATCATCAGGCTGAGTCTGCTGTTGTTGTGGGCCATGGAGTTGGTTCTGACTCTAGTGACTCCATGCGCCACAGTTGAATTGCCCATAAGGATTCCTGGGCTGTGATCTATAGGAGATCACCAGATCTTATCTCCCATGGTGAGGTTGATGGGTTTTAACTGACAGCTTTTGGTTAGCAGAGAATGGGGGTGGGGAGATTGAATAACAATGTTGGTTGTTGTTGTTATGTACTGATGACCCCCTATGTACAAGAGCCCTAAACCCTGCTTTCTGCTGTGCCTACCTCATTGTCTCTGACACACCTACTCCAATACCTTAATCATTGTATCGACCCATCTCATCAAGGGTCTTCCTCTCCTGCACAGTTCCTCCACTTTCCCAAACATAATGTCCCTCTCCAAGGACTGGTCCCTCCTTGCAACATGCCCAACGTATGTCAGACAAAGCTTCAGAATCTTTGACTCCAAGGAGCAGACTGGCTTTATCCTCTCCAGGACAAACCTGTTTTTTTATCCTCTCCAGGACAAACCTGTTATTTCTAGCAGTCCATGATATATACAACACTCCTCTCCAGCATCACAGCTCAAAGGCATCAATTTTCCCCCTATCATCCCTAGTTACTGTCCAGCTCTCCAATGCATAGCACACAACTGTGAAGATTATAGCCCAGATCAGGCACACCTTAGTCTCCAGCCTGACGTCCTTGCTCTTCAGTACTCTGGAGAGGTCCCTGACAGCTGACTTTCCCAGTGCAATTCATCTCTTGATTTCCTGGCTGCTGGTACCAAGAGTGTTGACTATGGAGCCAAGCGAACTAAAACTGTTAACTATGTCAGTCTTTTCACCATCCATACTGATGCTGCTAATTGGCCCACTGGTAAGAATCTTTGTTTTCAGCAAGTAGGGTTGTGTCATCTGCATAACGCAGATTGTTGATGAATCTTCCACTGATCCTGATGCCACCTTCCTCCTTGTACCGCCAAGCGTCCCAGGTGATCTGTTTTGCATACAGATTGAAAAGGTATGGAAAAAGAATACATCCCTGGTGGACCCCTTCCCAATTTTGAACCATGCAGTGTCTCTTTGCTTTGTTCTGATGACTGACTGCCTCTTGGTTCAAGTATATGTTTTGCATAAGCACAATCAAGATTCTCATTCCTCTGAGTCAGCCTTGTTGTGCTCCACACAGTCAAAATCCTTTGCATAGTTAACGAAGCACAGATAGTCATTCCTCTGGTGTTCTCTGCTTTCTGCCAAGATCCATCTAACATTATCTATAATGTCCCTAGTACCACGACCTCTTCTAAATCCAGCCTGCACATCTGGCAGTTCTTTGTTGATGTGTTGCTTTAGTGGTTTTGGTTTTTTTTTTTTATAATTTTCAGCAGAATCTTGCTTACATGTAATATTAATGATATTGTTTGATTTCCACACTTTGTCAGGTCACCTTTCTTTGGAATGGGAACAAATATAGATCTCTTCCAGTCAGTTGGCCAGCTGGCTGTCCTCCAGATTTCTTGGCACAACTCAGTGCGCACATCCAGGGCAGTGTCTGTTTGTTGGAATATGTCAACTGGTATGCTGTCAACTCCTGGTGCCAAACTCCTTGTTTTTGCCAATTCTTTCAGAGCAATTTGAACTTCCTCCTTCATCACCACAGGCTCTTGCTCATATATTATTTCATGAAATTCTTTTGTGTCAACCAATTCCTTCTGGTACAGTGACTCTCTCTACTCCTTTCATCTTTTAATGCTCCTTGGATCATTTAACACTCTACCCAAAGCATCCTTACGTATTGCCTCTCGTGGCTTGAACTTGTTCTTCAACTCCTTCAGTTTAAGAAACACTGAGCGAGTTTGACCCTTTTGATTTTCTGACTCCAGCTCTTTGCATATTTCATTATAATATCTTGCTTTATTGTTCCAAGCTGCCCCTTGAAATTTTCTGTTCAGCTCTTTAATTTTTTTATTTCTTCCTTTAGCTTTGGCTTTGGTGCTCTAATGCGATGGTCAGAGTCTCATCTGACATCCATCTTGGTCTTTTCTTCCTCGTCAGCCTTTGTAATGATCTTTTGCATTCTTCATGGACGATATTCTTGATATTCTCCCACAACTCATTTGGTCTACACTCATTGGTGCTCAAGGCCTCAAACCTGTTCCTGAGATGGTTTTGAGATTTTAGTGGGATAGACTTAAGGTTAAAGTTTGGTTCCTGTGAGTTTGATTTAATTTTCTTCAACTTCAGCTTGGACTTACATATGAGTGGTCTGTCCCACAGCCAGCACCTGTCTTGGTTTTCACAGCTGATATTGAGCTTCTCCAGCGATTCTTTCCACAAATGTAGTCGATTTGATTCCTGTGCATACCATTTGGTGAAATCCATGTGAATAGCCTGTGTTTGTTTCTTATAAAAGGTATTTGCAATGAATAAATCATCGAATGTGCAGAATTCTATCATTCTATCTCCAGCCTCACATCTGTCACCAAGTCCATATTTTGTAGCTACTGATCTTTCTTCCCTGTTCCCAACTTTTGCGTTCCAGTCACCCATTATTATCAATTAGTATAGCTAAAGTTATTATCTTGATTGCATTTTCAGTTGATTTCTGACTACAAAAGTTGGTAGAAATCTTCTTTTTCCTCCTTTTTTGCTTTAGTTGTCCATGCATATATACAATAATAAAATTGAAAGATTTTTTTTCTTTTCTTTTCAAATAGGAAAGTGAACTAGAGGGATGGACAGGGAGGAAAATGTGCAGCAATGAATGAATAGAAGTCCAAAGTCTCTATAAACTTCCATTAAAATTTAGACAAAAAAAATAATTGAGTTACCAGGGATCTTTGAATTTGCCATTAGCAAATTTAAAAAGAGATTTTGTTGTTGTTGTTTAAAAAGGCATAAGCTTACATTAAAATGTATTTGCTGTTTGTCAGCATATTCAAATATAGCCAAGCGCTTTCTGTTTTACCTGACTATCATGTCCTGAACTATTGTGAGTGAGAACCTGGCTGTTGGAATGATTTAGGTCTTCATGGACAAGGCCTGTATTAACCTGGCAGGAAAGGTCAGTCAGGCACTTCTTTTTTTTTCCCCCATAAAGTTTACTTTGTTTTATTTCGTTTTTAAAAAACAACAATAAAACCCCCAAAACAGCTCATAAAGCAGTCACCAATTCTTTAAGTACTGTCATACAATCTTTTTTTAGAGGATATTTTATATATATATATATATATATATATATACACACATATATCTACTATATATTATAACAGGAATGCCTTTTGACATAAAAGTTCCAATTCTAGGCATCTATTCTGAAGAGATAGCCATGGATGAGAACAAATGTTCATTTACAAACATGATTGTCAGGTACTTCTATGTTAACTGATTGAATCCATAAACTTTAAAAACAGTCAAAGATTATTCCATATTATCTCATTGTGAGACACAGTCACTGAGAGAGTGTAGAATTTTGTTGATGATGTATTATATGCATGGAAACTAGAAATGGTTTTTACAGTTGACATCAGAAACTAGATGCAGAGGCTTCAGACTCTGGGAATTGGGGTATTTTTTATTTTCTTTTTTCTGGAATACTTGCTTTAGTTGCTGCAACCTGGGGGAGGGAGGGAAAACTGCAATCTAGTTTGGCCAGAGGGGCATTCCTGAGGGCAAGGCTATTTACATTTGAATGGGAGAGAGTAGAGAGAAGTAACTGGGATCTTTCAAGGTTTTATGTGTTTAGGTTTTTATGTTTATAAGAATGCTCTTAATGGATATTGACTTTTATATACTCAACTCACACTAACTCATTACTGTGGAGTCAGAACCATTGTTGACCCTGTTCTTGAAGGTTGTAAAATACAGGAGAGGAGATTGCCCATCTTTTTCTGGAGGAGCCTGGTAGATTGAAACTGATAGGGAAGCCTTTGGTTTTGCAGCACAACTCTCTATGGCCCAGGCTCCTGGAGCTCCATTCCATTTCTTTGTTGTTATGTGGTCTATTTGGAACCAACCCGCTAGTGGGTTTTCAGAGACAGTAAATTCCACAGCCAGGAGATTGCCCATCCTTCTCCTGCCAATGCTTTCAGGCTTACAGGGCTGCTTCTTATCACTAGGCCTCCAGAGCTTCCTTTTCTTCTATGTTGTTCTGTGGCCATTGCATTGGAAACAGCCTGTTGCTGACCCTGCAGCAGGTTTTCAGAGGCAGTAAAACGCCCCTGAGGGGATTGCCTAGACTTCTCCTTGGAGGATCTGGTGAATACAAACCTTAGGGTACAGGATTGCTGCCAGGATTGCTGCTGCAGCTTCTTTTGGTTAGGCCACCAAAGCTCCCTTTCTTTTATATAGTGATGTAAAATGTATGGTAGAAAATAATGTTTCTTCCAAATAGTGATGTAAACTGTATAGTAGAAAGAATTATTTTTGAAATATTATATCAAATAAATAATTTTATGTTTTATTGCTGTTGTTGGTTTTAGAGGAGATGAGGAAATTTGGAATAAAAAAGAAAAATAGTGTTTTCGTAGGTTGGACAAACCAAATGGCATTAAATTAATTCTATTTTATATTGACCCTTTAAGACAAATGGAGGAGTCGTTCCCCAGGGTTTGTGAGGCTCTGTCTTTATAGGACCAGAACACCTTCTCTTTTTTCCCATGGAGTGGCTGAAACAATCTTTCAGATGGCAGATCTTCACCTGTTGTACCACCAGGGTTCCTTAGGTTGGAAACTGAAACCTGCAGCCCCTTTGCTGCTTTCAACCCATGATGCCACACCATCGGATTTCTGAGGCTGTAAATTGTGAGGAGACTGGCTTTTTCCCTTAGAAAGCTGTTAGCTTCACGCTTGCTGCAGACAGCACTACTAGAGCTGTCTTAGCTTGGAAAGGCAGTCTTGTGTTTCTAAATGGAGTAATATCGTTGAGAGAGGAAGATTATCTCTAGTGGCAAATGCTTTTTTTGAAAAGAAAGGCTCTGTCTGGTAAAAAGTGCTAAGAGCAGTGGACTAGCACAGTGTGTAGTGTGTGAAATGAACAGCAGTGAGTTTTTGAGGTTTTTCTGCATATTAGCCTCTAACTTTGTGTTCTCTACTTCTTTAGCATTTTTCCTTTTCACACTTCTCTCCTCCTTGCTGCTACTGAGGAATTTTGTTTTAAAATTAGGTGTTTAAGTTTTTTGTACATATTTTTTACACTCTGATTATTAAATGTTTTGTTTGTAGGTCAACTATAGCTTCTATTTGTGGGAGACAAATAAGACAACAGAAAACAAGCCCTGGAAATTTTCTTCAGTGAGAGTGCTGGTTGTGGATGAAGGGAGTTTGGTATCTGTAGGCATCTTCAAATCAGTCTTAAATTTATTGTGTGAACACTCCAGACTTTCCAAGCTTATTGTCCTTGGTAAGTGAAAATACTGTTTGAACTTTGATGCATTGTGATTCACTCACTCACTGGTTGCCATTGGGTTGGAACTAACTTATCACTAACCAACCAGTGGGTTTTCAGAGGCTGTTTATGGCGTGAAAGAAGATTGCTCATCTTTCTCTCACCAGAACAGCTGATAGATTTGAACCACCTGGTCATGTAGCTCCTTACCCACTAGGCCACCAGAGCTCCTTGTATTGCACTAATTAATGGGTTGTTTATACCATTCTAAAGACGGGAAGCCATTTTTCAAAACAACATTAAGTTCTGGCCACTCCTCTTAATCATATTGGGTGGTTTCTTTGTTTTTGCAAGGTTTGGTAAAGTAGAAGGTATTTAGGTTTGGTAAAGTAGAAGGTATTTGGACAAAGAGAAAGAGCCTCAAGAGATTGATTAATACTTTGAAAGAATAAGCTCAAACATAGCAGCATTTGTAAAGAAAGGGCCGGATTGGACGGTGTTTTGTTCTGTTGTACTTTATGAGTTAGACCAACTTGTCACCTAATAGCAATGGCAATAGAATGTGGATGAAAGAGTTGTAGGGAGTTAGTTATGTTAGTCACAAACAAAAAAATGTGGCTATTAAGAGAATTAAAATGTCATAGATTCAGAAAAAGTGAGGTTGTCAGATTGAACCTCACCAGTCCTTTAAATCTTCCTATTCTGATGAGATTCTTTTGGGTGATAGTGAGCTATGGACTATGCTTTAATAAAGAAAAAATAAAACTTGGGGAGTCAAGAGATTTAGAAGTAATATTTTTTAAGTATTTGAGAATATTTTTAAGTAGTTAATTCTGTTAGTGGATTAAGCATTCTCCAAGTCACTACTCAGTAAATATTTCTCTTATCTCTGTGTTTTCGAAGTGAATTTTTTAAAAGCACACATTACTGAAATGTATTCATTATCTAATGCATTTGGTTTCTCATTTTTGTATTTTACATTTTTATATTAAGTGTTTAAGGCTGTCAAGATTATTAGATTTTTCCATCTTCAGAACGATATTAAACATGAACAACCAAGTGACTAACTGCTCTGAATCGAAGGCCTATTTTTAAAAAAAAAAAAATTGTTAAAAATATGCCCCTACATGGTTCACTGAGATTCTAGTGTGTAAGAATTTCAGTTTAAGTTTTGTTATTTTATTGTGCTTAACTGCTTTTTGAGGGGGTTTTTGGTTGGGATTTGTGGTTTAGTTTTTTTACATTTTATATTATTTCATTTGAGTGTTATTCTTACTAAATATCGTTAAGGCACATTCTTAAGTAAATTTAGATGAAAAATTTTCCGAATATTTTTCTGCTCAAGTAAGTTGATATTATGATTGTACCATGAATCTGTGGAAGAATAGAAACAATTCTTAAATTTTAAGATCTTTGTGCCTTAAACATGCTGTAATTGTTCATCCACCTTCCCTTTTTAGGTGATGTTAGACAGTTACCCAGCATTGAGCCTGGCAATGTGTTGAAAGATCTTTTTGAGACTCTTAAAGCAAGAAATTGTGCTGTTGAGCTAAAGACAAACCACAGAGCAGAATCTCAGCTAATTGTGGACAATGCTACAAGGTATGACACAAGCTAAGATCTTTTTTTCTCTTTCATTTTTAGAATATACCATTATATATTAAAAACTCTTTAATTGGAGTGATTTGGTACATTTCCTAACTTTCTAGGAAGCCCATTGGAGATGTACAGCCTTTGCCTAACTTTCAAGAAAAACAGACAATATTTTGTGTTACTGATCCAACATAAATTATTATTAAAATGTCAGGATGGACATTTGTGGGGTTTGGGGTTTTTTTCTGATAGAAAAAGTATGAATGGCTTAATAGCAAGACTGTGGAGCCACGGTTTCATTGGTACAGGCTTTCTTTTTAGGGTGATGAAAATGCTTTAGAACTAGATTAGACAGAAATTATGGCTCACTTACGACATTATCAGTGCACTAAATGCCACTGAATTGTTCACTTTAAGTTGGTCAGTTTTATGTTGTGTGAATTTTACATCAGCTAAAACAAATTTCAGTAATAGTGTCAAGTTTATGGCCTAAAATAAGATGAAAGAGAGCAAACACTTGGAAATTAACCAGAAAGGAATAAAAGCAAATACGCATTGGAGTTGAATTGATTCTAAGTCATAGTTGATCCTGGGGGAGAGAGTAGAACTGCCGTGTAAGATTTCTAAAGCTGTAAATCTCTGTGGAAGTTGACTACTTTAATTTTCTCCTAAGAAACCACTGGTGGATTTGAACCACTGGCCTTTTGGTTAGCACCGGAGCATCTTACCCACTGTACCACCTTAACAATTTGGGAATTTTTTAAGATTCCTTACTTACATATTAGTTCCCTTGAATTTGAGGAAGACTTAGGGAAGAAAATTCCTCTTATTTCTGGGAAGAATAGACAAAAGTAGAAAAAAAATAGACAAAATTAGGGGGGAAAACCCCCAAAACAACAAAGCCAGTGTGTTATTCCATTCCTTGATGAGTCCTGGGACATGTATGGCTCAGCACCTAACTTTTAGTTTGCTAGAGTTGGAGGACTCATTGGTAAAGGTAGAACCACAGTGTTTATTCTTGTAAAGCTCAATTACTCAGTTCCTTGAACATCTTCTTATGGAATGTTGGTAGAAGCCAGAGCATTCAAAACAAGCTTTCTGTGTGCTCCTGGGTACCTTGGACCAATTAGAGGAAGTAGAGGAAGAATTGAAAGGCATGGTAGATCATGTCAGCTCCGAGACATTAAGAAAAGTAATAGAATCAGGTTCTTACTTTCTCCAATCTAAGGGCTAATTCATTTGAGGGATGTTAAAAACAGACTGAGTAATTTTGAAGTCCACAAGAGTTGGAAGAAACTCTAGCACACTGTTGTTCGGTGCTGTTGTGTTGGCTGTGATTTACAGTGACCCTGTGTAAAATGGAATGGAACGCTGCTCGAATCTGTGCCATCACCACATCTGTGATTACGCCCAATGTTGTTGGCAATGTGTTGGCCCATCTCATTAGATTCCTTAGTTGTTTTTGTTGTTGTTGTTATGTGCCATCGAGACACTTGCGACTCATAGCGACCCTATGTACAAGAGCTCTAAACGCCATTCTATCCTGTGCCAACCTCGCCGTCTCAAATACATTCATTCCCACCACTGCACTCACAGAATCGATCCATCTCATCGAGGGTCTTCCTCTCCTGCGCCATCCCTCCACTCTGCCAAACATGATGTCCCTCTCCAAGGACCAGTCCCACCTTGCAACATACCCAAAGTATGTCAGACAAAGCTTCAGAATCCTTGACTCCAGGGAACATTCTGGCTTCACCCTCTTCAGGACAAACCTGTTTTTTTCTCCTAGCAGTCTATGGTATATTCAACACTCTTCCCCAGCACTACAACTAAAAGGCATCAATTCTCTTTCTATCATCCCTATTCAGTGTCCAGCTCTCTGATGCATAGCACGTAACTGCAAAGACTATAGCCTGGATCAGGCGCACCTTAGTCTCCAGCCTGATGTCATTGCACTTCAGTACTCTTGAGAGGTCCCTCACAGCTTAGAACCCGGTTTTATCTAACACTCTGGAATTCTTTATAGTCAACCTTTTCATTATCATTTGGGACAAGCTGAAAGTTCCTTTCAGCATTGTTTCTTATCAAATATTTATGGCCTATGAAGGATTCCTGTGATATACTGTGGACAGTAGACATAAAAGCGTAGAAATAGAAGTGTGGTATATGACTTGGGTCAGGAATGGAGCAGGAATTCATAACGATTGTAAAGGCCCCCAAAATTAAATCTAGGACTTTTCCTAGAGGAGCTGGTCTACTTTGTCCCTCTCTCTTTGTTGATCTTCTTTTAGGAAGGGGAAGAGCTGAAACAGTAGTTTACCACCACTTCTGATAACAAGGCTGTTGTTAAGTCTGTTCAGAGATGTTTTATCTTCCCAGTGTCCAAGTAAAAGCTCCATGCAGATAAGATACCTGTACTTGCTTCTATTTTCTGATGTGATTTGTGCTCAACTGTGAACTTAAAGGCTGGGAATTTGAGTCCATTCAGAGACTTCTTAAAAGAAAGACCTAATGATGTACTCTGCAAAATCAGCCATTGAAATGGACCCCCCCCCAAATGTTTTGAATGTTCAAAAATAACAGACAAGATAAGAAATGTCAATCTAATAGAATTTTCCATTAAAAGATGTTTAACACGTTGTTGTTAGCTGCCGTCATGTTGACTATGACTGGACTCGTAGTGACCCTGTAAACAATAGATCTGAAGTTTGGCCCTGCCTTGTACTTTGTACGCACCACTGTGGTAGTCACGTGTCAGTCCATCTCAGTGATGGCCTGAAGTTGATTTTGAAGCACAGTTCTTGATCTAACGTGGAATTGCTGTGAGTCAGAATCAACACCACAGCAACCGTTTTGGAGGACTCATTGGTAAAGGTAGAACCACAGTGTTTATTCTTGCTGATTCTTGTAAAGCTCAATTACTCTTTCTAATGCAGATCCAGGTGGCCATTTCTCCTTATTTATTACCTATTAACAGAAGTTAACTATTATAATGACATTTGCTCTGATCGTGGATGAAGACACCGTTTGGGGTGGTAATATCCTTGATACACGTCTTTTATCTCTGTTCAAGAATCTCCAGGCGCCAGTTTCCAAATTTCGATGTAAAACTGGATGTAACTGATTACCTCACTCTACCTATCTCAATTCAAGAGAAGTCATTTATTTTTGTCCGACTTCCAGAGGAGGATGCTGGCTCTCAGAGTTCTCAGTCAGCAAAAAATAATCATCACTCCTGTAAGTATAAGTCCTTTTGAGGTGAAAAGTTTTTCAGCTTTGTAACATGGTGGTAAAATGACTACTTTTTATTTTAGTTAGAGGTGAATGTTAATAATAAAAATGAGACACTAAGAGTGCAGTAGAGTAGAGCACAATAAAATGAGGTCCACTTTCAATATTAAGCTGTGGAATAACCAAAAAAAAATGAGACACTAAACATAAATTGTGAATTGCCAATATCAGAGTGCCCTGGAATTTTAGAAATAGGTGATAGGGAATCTCTTTTTCATTGCTGTTTAGTCAGAATCAACTCAGTGCTAACCCTCCACAGGGTTTTCCGGGGCAGTAAGTCACACAGAAGGAAATGGCCCATCTTTCTCCCAATTAACTGCTGGTGAATTCAGACTGTCAGAGATGTGCCACGTTAGGTCAGCAGTAACTCCCTACAGATTATGCTCCCAGAACACCCTAAAGTGTAGTATTGATGTTATGCACCATCGAGTTGGAACCAACCCTCCAGCAGGTTTTCAGAGGCAGTTAATTGTACAGAACAAGATTACGTGTCTTTGTCCTGGGGCCGCTAGTGATTTGAATCACATGCCTTTGGGTTGGCCATGCAATTCCTTACCACTAGGCCACCAGAGAGCTCTGATGTGTTTGCTATTGTGTACCTCCAAACCAAGCCTACCCATAGCTGACCTTATGTTAGAGGCAGTTAATTGCTTGGGAGGAGATTGCCCATCTTTTTCCTGCAGAGCAGCTGATTGATTCAAACCACTTACCTTCAGGACTGCAACACAGCTTCTTACCACTAGGCCACCAGAGCTCCCTCTGATGTATAATAGGGCTCAGTAAATATTTGTTGGATGAGTAAATAGATGTAGATTATTTCATTTATAGGAAAGCAGCTCTCCACTAATCCAAGTACATTCACAAGAGCCAGCCAGAAGCAGACCAGCTGTTGCCGATTGCCACTCACAGCAACTCTCCTTTGGGTTTCTGAGGCTGTAAATCTTTGTGGGAGGATACTGCCCGTCTTTCTTCGTTGGAACAGCTAGTGGGTTCAGACTGCTGATTTTTTGGTTAGTTGTCCAACTCTTAACAAGGAATTATGTCTGAATTAATAAAAAAAAAATGGTGGTGGTAGTTTTTTTTAATAGCAGTTTGAAAAAGAAACATATTTGTTATTTTGAGTACATTTGTTAAACCACCACCAAAGTAGTACCTTGTTTTTTGGTTTTTTGTGTTTTGTGTTTTATTTATTTCACACATTTTCCATCTTTAATTAGATCCTTGCCATTTTTCTATTGATTCTTTTAATGAAAAATATGTGACTTTTCCTTCTCTCTCCGGAGGTCCAGAGGAGCTCCAGGGGCACTGAAGTTAGGGTGTTTCAGCTACTAAACAAAGGCTTGGTGGGTTGAACCCACCAGCTGCTTTGTGGAAGGAAAATGAAATATTCAGTTCCTTTAAAGATTTACAGCCTTCAAAACCCTGTGTACAGTTCTCCTCTGAACAGAACCTCTAGGAGTCAGAATCCACTCTGATTCTATAATAGGTTTTTTTTGGGAATAGACTTTTTTCTTTTTAATCAGTTTTCATAAAGCAGAAATACCGGGTCCTGCCTTCACAGGTTTTTCTGGAGTTTTATTTTCTTGAGTGGATCATTGCTTCCAGTTTGAAGTGTTAAAATGACAAGGTGTGTGTCTAGGAAAAAGTGTGGCATCAGGAATTTTCTTCCTTTTGATTATAACCTGAAATGAATTCTTAGCACTTGTGAAATGGGCCTTATAGTGGCATTGCCTTGTCCAAAACTTTGCCAGTTCATCAATTCTGAGACAATATAGAAATACTAATTTTTAAAATAATTTGGTATTAAGTTACCTATGTCCATAAGGAGTTGTGCTGATAACTGAAAGGCAGTCCTTCTCTGGATGGTCAAAAGATGGGCAGTCTGCCCCCGTGCAAGGAGTTTGAGTTTTTGAGTTATTACAATGAATTTATTGCAATACATGAAGACATCGTTGGTCCTTATTTTATTATGTAATAAGGATCAGGTCAGCAAACTGTCATTATGCTACACAGGCTTAGTGAGCTCTTGTGGCCTGCTGATAAGGAACTGTGCTGCCAACCCAAAGGCACATGTTTCAAATCCACCAGCTGCTCCACAGGAAAAAAAAATAGGTAATCAATTGCTATGAGACTTTTTTTGCCTCTGAACACCTGCTGGAGGGTCAGCTATGATTTGGTCCCAACTTGACCACATATAGCAACAGCAGTATAACGCACTGACTTATTAAAACCTAATAAATATTGATGAGCCCTGGTGGCATAATGGTTAATTGGTCAGCTGTTAGCCAGAAGGTTGGCAGTTTGAATTACCAGCCATTGTATGTGAGAAAGATGTGGCTGTCTGCTTCTGTGAAGATTAAAAACCTCATGGGACAGTTCTGCTCTGTTCTCCAAATTTGCTCCATGTTGGAATTGACTTACATTTGCTTTTTGGTTTTTTTTAAATTATTACTTTGAGGACTTGTTTGAGTTACTACATTTCTCACTTAGCACTTTCATGCTGTATGTGAAATTCATTCCTGTACACCTTTATCTGTCTTTCCCTACTTTATGTGTGCCACCATGCCTCACTTCCCTTAGGTTAATGCTGCTGAAGTGTTAAAATGTTGATATAGTTAGAGTGGTGATGTTAGTTGCTGTGAAGTTGATTAAGACTCATACTGACCCGGCGAGCTCTGGTGGCCTGGTGGCAAGAAGCTGCTGCAGTCCCAGAGGTGCACAGGTCAAATCCACCAGATGCTCTGCTGGAGAAGGAGGGACAGTCTCCTCCTGTACCAGTCAGATCTGATTTGATGGTACACACACAAAAATAATGAATTTTTTTTTAAAAAAACTCATACTGACCCTATGAACCCTGATCTGAACCCTGTTCTATCTTATACCATCTTCATAATTTCTGACATATGTGAGCCCATTGCTTCAGTCACGGTGTCAATTCATCTTGTTAAGCACCTTCCTCTCTTGCCTGCCTTCTTTCTTTCCAAGCATGATGCTGTTTTCCAAAGAATATCCTGTCCTAATAACATGCCCTAAGTATATGAGACAAAACTTGGTCATCTTTGTCCTCAAGGAGCACTCTGGCTGCACTTTTTCTAAGACACATCTGTTTGTTCTTTTGGCCATCCATGGGATATTCATTACTCTTTTCCAACACCGCAACTCAAAGGCTTCAATTCTTCTTCCATCATCCTTATTCACTGTCCAACTTTCAAATGTATAGTCAGCAGTTGAGAAGATCATGGCTTGAATGAGGTGCACTTTAGGCTTTAGACCAACATCATTGCTTTTTAGCACTCTGGAGAGCTGCTTGGCAGCAGATTTTCCCCTGGTACAGCTCATCTTTTGATTTCCTGACTGCTGTCTCTCAGTCAGTGGAGACAATTTTTGTTTTCTTGATGTTGAAATATATCCATGTTGAAGGCTGTAGTCTTTGATCTACTTCAGCAAACACTTCAAGTCTTCCTCACTTTCAGCAAGTAAAATTGTGTCATCTGTATAATGCACATTGTTGATAAGTCTTCCTCTGATCCGTGTACCACATTCTTAAACACTGTGTCCATCTACCTGGTGGAGGGTCTTCCTTTCCTTCGCCCACCCTCCACCCTTCCCTGCATCAAGGAATAGAACCTCCTAACATGTCCAAAGGATGTGAGGCGAAGCCTCGTCATTCTTGCCTACAAAGAGCACTCCTACTGCACCCTCTCTAAGGCATATCTGTTTGTTCTCATGGCCACCAATGGGATGTTCAGGTTCTTCTCCAACATCATAGTGTCAGATTGTTTACTGTCATCTTTATTCGTTTGTTCAGTATGTCAGTATGAAGGATGGTGTTGCCTGCATAGTCAAAAAGTCCATTTCAAATTCTATCTTGAAGTACAATGTTGTGAGTGATAGGATAATATCCACACACATACAAGGAAGACTTGTTAACACAATTATTATTCAAATATATGTTTCTACATCTAGACCAAAAAGGAAGAAATTGAGAAATTTTACCAAATTTTGCAGTCTGAAATTGAACATGAAATCAGGATGCATTAATGATAATTGGTGACTGGAATGCAGAAGTAGGAAACAGTTAAGAAGGAACAGTACTTGGAAAATATGAGCTTGGTGATAGAAATGAAGCTGGAAAGAAAATGATTGAACTTTATATTTACAATGAATTATTCATTGCAAATACCTTTTTTAAAAAGAGAAAAAAAATGATTTTAAATGTGGAACTCTCCTGATGGTCTGCATGGGAATCAGAGTGACTATACTGGTGAAAGAAATTGTTGGAGAAGCTCAGTATCATCAGTCAAAACTATTCCAGGGGCAGACTGTAGGTCAGATCATCAATTACTCAGTTGCAAGTTTAAATTGAGGCAAAAGACAATTAATATAAGTCCACAGGAACCAAGATGTGATCTTGAATCAATTCCATCAGAATTTCATGATCATTTTAAGAATAGGTTTGAGGCACAGAACACCAGTGACCAAAGACCAGATGAGTTGTGGGATGATAGCAAGGATATCATTCATGAAGAAAGCAAAAGGTCATTACAAAAATATAGGGGAAAGAAAAAAAATCAAAATGGATGTCAGAAGAGACTCTAAAGATTGCACTGGAAAGTTGGGAAGCCAAAACAAAAGGAAAACATGTTGAAGTGAAAGCATTGAGCAGACAATTTCAAAGGGCAGCTCAGGAAGACAAAGCAAAGTTTTACAATGGAATATACAGAGAGCTGGAATTGGAAAATAAAAAGGGAAGAACTCATTGCATTTCTTAAACCAAAGGAACTGAAAAACAAATTTAAGCTTTGTGTCACAATTTTGAAAGATGCTTTGGGCAGTATATTGAATGACCCAGAAAGCATCAAAAGAATATGATGGGGGGAGACCTGGAGGGGGGGAGAGAAGTGCAGCAATGAATGAATGGAAATCCAAAATCAGTCACAAAGGGA